GTCTGCAGACAGGAAGTGGAGTACCCTGCTAGGAAGAGTTCACCTGGACACCATTGGCTATCTATCTGTTCTGTGACAAAGGGGCCAGGACACTGGAGTCCAGAGCTCAGACTGAGGTCAGGTGTGGGCAGTTCATAGTCCCCAAGATACATAATAGAGGGTATACCACCAGGAACCCCTGTCACCCTCAACCCCACCTTTGCTGCCAGCTTATCTTTTCCGTTTTCTCACCCGTGCTTCTTGGAAGTGTTTCACTCTTAGCCTAGCCTGTCTTGGAATTTACCTTGTAGCTAAGGCTAGCCTCAAACTCACAGGGATCCTCCTCCCTCTTGGGTCCTGGGATTACGTGCATACACACCGACTCTTCCCCGACCAAGCTTCTCCACAGAGCGGTTAATCCTTGCTCTTTGCCTCACTTTTCAAATCACAACTTAACCTACTCTTCTGGTAAAGCCAGTAGTAGACAGTACTGGGACCCGCTGTTGTCTGGGGCCTGCCATGTTATATTATGTGGCAAAAGGGTCCCTGGAGAGGAGATCGGGTAATCTGAAGATGCAGAAATTTTCTGGCTACTTCAGTTGGTTTAGCGCAATCATGGGAGCCCTAAGGACAAGATGTAGCACCATGGTACAGGGCTTGCCTACCTTCTGAGGCTCTGTGGGTCCATCCAAGTGGCCACCAAAACTGGAGGAAGGGAGGCATGATGGTGTACATTTACACTATTAGAACTTGAGAGGTGGAGAGACAGGAGGACCAGAAGGTCAAGGCCATCTTTACTACCCAGCCAGCTGGAGGCCCGCCTGGGTCTATGAGACCCTGTCTCAAAGAATAAATACACTATGACAAACAGAACCAGCACAAAATTAGGACCGAGAGAAGGGCAGAGAGGCCATTGAGGAGGAGCTGGATGCCACTGCTGACTTTAGAGGTACCTCGGCGGAAAGTATGAAAGCAAACAAATTTGACTTGAATAAAGGTGTGAGCCTGGTACAAGACCTGGAGCCCCGGGTGAGAACAGGAACTCCAATCTAGAGCTTCCTCCTGGGTCTGTAAGAGACCAGACAGAAGACCTGCCGGTGGCAGGCTGGACTTTGACTTTGTTTTTCAGATAAGGGTGTCACTTTGTAGCCCTAGCTAACCTGAACTCACTGTGTGGCCCAGGCTTTGAACTCACAATAATCCTCCTGCCTCATCTTCCAAAAACTCAGACTGTTTTTATTAGCATATATTAATTTTACATAATAATGGGTTTCACTATGACATTTTCATGTATGTGTGTAATGTATTTTGATCATATTCACAGACGCATACATATACACGCATGTTGGCTGCCATTTTGTCTCCCTTCCTCTTCCTCTGTTCCCCTTTCTCTCCCCAGCTAGTGTCCCCTTCTAATTGCATGTCTTGCTTGTTTGAATGATCCGATAACTTTCATAGGGTTTCCTATAGGAACAGGGAAAATTGTTTGCCACTGAATGAGCACCTTACAGGCGGCTACACCATTGAGGAAAATGCCTCGATCACAGAACTTACATAAATCCTCAGGGAGGGGTGGGAGCCATGAGCCCTCCCTCCCTCCCTCCTTCCCTCCTTCCCTCCCTCCTTCCCTCCCTCCCTCCCTCCCTACCTACCTCCATGACACTAGGTCAATAGGCCCAGCCTTGTGCAGTAATTGTTTCATGAGAAGGGAGTCTCACTATGTAACCCATACTGGTGATCCTCCTGCCTCCACCTCCCTAGAGCTGGGATTATAGGAATTCACCGTTGTCCAGCAAATTTACGGTTATCAGGAGAGAGACGATGCAGCCCCAGTGACCTCACGTTGTAGCCTCACTGGTTCATTTCAGCTGTCATTTTTCACGACCACTCCATGATATGCCAGAATTCTGACCATTATTATGCCGCAATGCCAATCATTTCATCTTCTTTTTGTGGAGACTGGATTCAGGTCCTTGGGAATGCAAAATCCTTGGGAATGCAAAATAAGCTTTCTCAGATCAGCTATAGCTTTCTTAAAATCTCATGTTGGGCCAGGTGGTGGTGGTGCAAGCCTGTAATCCCAGCACCCTGGAGGCAGAGGAAGACGGATCAGATGTCTCAGTGGGTAAGCGATTGCTCTCCAGACACGAGAATAAACCCTCAGAGTCCATGTAGAACTGGGCACAGTATTACATGTCCATAATCCTAGCTTTCCTACTGAGAGCCGGAAGGTGGAAACGAGAGGATCCCTGAAGCCTGTAGATCAGCTAGCCTGGTGTATGCCTCTGCGAACAATAAAGAGACCCTGCCTAAAGCAGGTGGAAGGTGAGGACCCAAAGCTGTCCCCTGGCTTCCACATGCCCCCCACTCACATACAACATTAATACATACAATAAAATACAGTCTGAGCCAGGCATGGTTACACACACCTTTAATTCCAGCACTCAGGAGGCAGAAGCAGACAGATGTCTGTGTGAGACCAGCCTGGTCTAGAGAGTGAGTTCCAGACCAGCCAGAGCTACACATGAGGCCGTCTCCAAAAACAAAACAAACAAAAGCCAACTTGGCAGAGTAGTGATAAACACTGCTGCCTTCCAAACCTCCCTCTCCTCCTTCTGAACAACAAGCTCTATCCTGACTGTGCCTCCACAGGGCTCTAGGCTAAGCACCCGCCTGCTTACCTCTTTTCTTCACAGAATATCTCCTAGGTTTCCATCTTTGACCTATATTCTACACCCCTTAGTGACCCCAAGAATATCCTGACTGGGTCTCAAACAGCACATATTCACAGATGAGCCAGGGTAATGCCAGGTGGAGGCCAAGAGATGTGGACTGGAAAAATGGAGAAGAGTAAAACTCAGAAAAAATGGCCGGCTGTGGAGACGGAGGAATAGGCGGAAAGTGAGGGCAACTTGTAGGTTTCTGGCCCAGGCAGACAGACACAAGGCAGTGAAGCAGAAGAACAAGGAGAGAAGAAAGCATCTGGGCTAGAAAAAAGTAACTAGTTCCATCCTGACATCTTGAGGTGAAGGAGCACAGATGGCGCACGCCTTTAATCCCAGCACTCAGGAGGCAGAGGCAGGCGGATCTCTGTGAGTTCAAGGCCAGCCTGGTCTACAGAGCTAGTTCCAGGATAGGCTCTAAAGCCACAGAGAAACCCTGTCTCGAAAAACCAAAAAAAAAAAAAAAAAAAAAAAAAAAGGCCAGCCTGGTCTACAGAGCAAGTTTCAGGACAGACCCCAAAGCTACAGAGAAACCCTATCTCAAAAAACAAAACAAACAAACAAACAAACAAACAAAAAACACAGCTAGAGATGTTTAGCAGGACTAGACTTGGGTTTGCAACCTAAAGGAGGGAACTGGAAATGACCATTTGGAAGCCATTGGTATACTATAGTTGCCAGAACTGCAAGCTTATAGCGGATGACCACCATAAGAAGGGACAGTCCTTTGTAGAGTCTTGGGACCTGAGCCGTCAGCAGCAGAAAAAAAATGACTTGGTTCAAGAAGGGACACCCCAAAAGGAAAGAAAGGAAGCTGTCATGGAACAGGCTAAGAAGTGGTTTTGAAGTCAGAGGAAATGGCTGACATCCTCACAAGCCATGGAACGGTCAGAAGATAAGCTGGAGAGTTTGCAGGTTTGTGCACTTGAGGTCACAGGAATCTGATGAGGGAGCTCTGATTAAGTCTCTGGGGCGGAAGTGTAACTGTGGCATCCAGGAAAAAGTGAGAGCAGACTGCACAGTCATGAAACGCAGAGAAAGAAGACAGAGTGACAGGGGAAAGTGGGGTTGGGGACAGCAGGGGAATCTCCAATGTGGCGCTTCGGTCACAACTCTTAGGGTCACTGGACTAGCCATGACTGACCACATCCTGAAGCCGAGGGGAAATCTAAGTAAGCTCTCCAGATAGGTCCTTGTTACTTTTTAGTTGAAACTTAAAAGCTACCAACTGAGGAGAGGAGAGACGGCTCTACAGTTATGAGCACAGGCTGCTTTTCCAGAGGACCCCAGTTCAGTTCCCAGGACTGACGTGGCAGCTCACCACGGTCTGTGACTCCAGTCCTAGGGGATCCAATACCCTTCTGGCTCTGTGGACACCAGGCTTGTTCGTGGTACACAAACTTACATACAGGCAAAATGCTCACACACAAGCTAAATTTTAAAAAGACTATAACGAAGCCTGGTAAATAATAAAGCACACAATGAAGCAGGGATGAGCCGGGCACACGCTTGTAGCCCCAGCACTCAGGAAGTGGGGTTCAGGCTCAGGGTTCTTCTCAGCTACCCAGCGAGTTTGAAACCAGCCTGGGCTCCATGGGTGAGTCTTGAAAACATCACAAATAAAGCAAAAAGATATTAAAAAAAAAAACCAAACAAATCTTGCCTATGACTCCACCTTTGGAAGAAGCCAAGAAATGCCCAGATACCCAATGTAAATTACTGTTTGTCATTGGCAGAGCAGATGGTAGAATTTGCTTCATTGGTTTGTAACTTGACGGAAAATGAGATCACGGCGGTGTACTCTGAGTACCACCAAAAATCACAGAATTGTGCACTTTGAGTTTTATGGTACTTAGATCATACCTCCACGAAGATGCTGCGTGCCCCAGTCAATCATCTCAGCCCAATCAGAGACCACAGGCAGAGAGCCCCTGCCACGTGGAGGTGCTCACGGGCATGGCAAGAGAAGATTGGACGACTCTAAAATGGGTCTGGTGCTCAGCGATTCACAGATACATAGAACTGCACTGGGATCCCCTAATTAGAGTCCTAAATGTTTAACCTCGGACTAATTTTTCCTCTTTGGGGAGACAACAGTCAGCACTCTTCACAGATCTTTGGGAGGAGGGAAAGAATCCCCTAAGAGGCGCCCACTACCTGCTGTTGCAAGGTGCCTCAGCCAGCCTGGTAAAAACTTAGCTGGGGTCTTTGATACTGGGAAGGTTGGCTTTCACTTGCTCTTCGCACCCAGGGTAACGCGTCTGGCGGTTGCGTAGCAACGAGCCAGTTTCTCGCAGCATGGCGACAAGAGACTCCAGCGCGAGCTACAGAAAGACCGAGGGCATACCCGGGACCTTGAGCACCGCTGTGCAAGAGCATCTGCGGAAGCTGTGTCTGCGTGAATTCCCATGTGGCACCGGGAGCTGGGTGCGTGCTCCCCACGCTGGGGATGGGGATGAGGGAGGGAAGGATTCAGCAGGGGTGGACCTGGGACTGGGCCAGAATGGCTGCATGGAGTAAACCGAAGTAGGTAGTACCTAGCTGGGAACCAACCGGCTGCCCTAGTGGTCAGGAGATGCTCAGATACAAGTTTGAGACCGGCTGGGAGGTTTGGATGTGACGTTGGCTGATTTGAGAGTTGGCGTGAACAGAGCGATCTGGAACATTGAAGGAGTTCAGGGGCCAAGTGCCCCCTTTGCCATGTGGGGACGGGCCCAGAATGGACTGACCCAGCACATCAAGCTGACCTTTGATGTCGTGTAGCCCAGGCTGCAGATGCGAGAGGGAAGAGATCCCTGAGGGAAGAGCTTTGGCGTTGAACACTTTACAGCAGCTCATGATAAGATGGAGAGAAAATGATTCCCCTGTGCTCTGGGGCTACGGGGCTAGCTTTCCCCTTCAGGACAGGGTCTTCTGCCCCTCCATCACAGCCTGCTTCCCTCCTGTAACTGCTGGACTTGGGAAGCCTAGGGTGCTGTGTGACCTCTGCCCTCTTTCCAGGTTAAGGAGAGACTGAGGGAAATACAGCCAAGGGCATGGTCAGCGCAGCTGGAAAAAAAGATCCGGTCCAACAGGGCAGGAAGATCCTCTTCCAGTCACTCCACCTTGTGTGTTCATCCTGCTCAATATGCAGGGGGACCCTTGTCATCAGCTGGGTCCACGGGTCGGGATGAACAGCCTGGTTAGACTTAGAGGTCCCTGAAAATGTGTCCTGACAGTCTGGGCTGTCACCTGGGCCTCCCCCCACACTCTACCAGGTTAAACAGCCAAACTGGCCTTCCCCTTGTAGAGGGGAACAGCCACCCATCAGGGACACACTCGGTTTGTGTCGAGAGATGCAGGCCGATGGCTAACCTGTGCTGGGCACCGTCCTAAGCTTTGGAACTTCGAAGATGGATCTAGGGGTAGGGATGGAGCTAAGTGTTTTCCGTGTTTGTCCGGGGTGAGGCCTTTAGTCCCACCCTCACCCCCAGCACCAAACCAAACAAAATCAAACAAGCCCATAAAATCTGAAGAGGCGTATTTCAACTGTTGCCTGGAGGGGCAGATTCTGAGGAGCACACTCATGTTTTACTCACCAAGGCTCAAGTTTCACCTTTCCCTTGCCGCCCCCAAGGAAAGCCTTCCCGCTTTGATTTCTCCATTTCCCAGGTTGCCTACCGAGCCTCCTGGGCCGTGTCAAACTAAACTCTCCTTTTATTCTATTAATTTATTGCGTTCTTTTTACTTGTGTGTCTCTGTGTGGGTATGTGCGTGCTGGGGCAAGTGCTCTCGGGCTGGAAGAGTACACTGGATCTCCTGAAGCTGGAATTGCAGGCACTTTAGAGCTGCCTGACTTGGGTGCTGGGAATTGAACTTGGGTCTTCTAGCAGAGCGTCAAGTGCTCCTAACTACTGACTGAATCACTTCTGCAGCCCCCACAGCTATTCTGCTTTTCACGTTCAAAGTTCCCAACTCCAGAGTGAAGCGAAAACAGGAACTTGGTCTTTGATATTCTGTGTCTTGCTGCGTGTGGTGGCACCGGGAACTCAGCACTCGGGAGGCTGAGGCAGGAGGACTGAGCGGTCAAGGCCCGTCTGGCTACACAGTAAAGCTCTGCCCCCACAAATAACTATCCTATACCAGGCATGTAGCTCAGTCAGTAGAGACTCTTCTAGAGAGTTCCTAATCTCACCACACCTAGTGTGTAAACAGAGGTGACTCTTTTGTTTCCCGGTCGCCCATCACTACTGTGGGGGGGTGTGCCTATGGTCCCTCAATTTAGGAGATGGGAGCAGGAGGATCAAGGGGTTCAAGGTAACTGTCAGCTATACAGTGAGTTCAAAGCCAGCCTAATCTACACAAGACCCTGTCTCAGATAACCAGGACCCCTTTGATGGCTCAGGGTGGAAAGTTCTTCCTGCCAGCCGTGATGATCTGCGTTTGACCCCTGGGAACCACGTGGAGGTAGGGACACGAGAAATTCTTGCAGATTGTTCTCTGAGCCCGGGATGGCTTGTCTCTTTATTTTGTCTTTTCAAGTCAGGGTTTCTCTGTGTAACAGTCCTGGCTATCCTGGAACTTGCTTTGCAGACTCACAGAGATCCGCCTGCCTCTGCCTCCCGAGTGCTGGGACTAGCCTGGTGACGGCTCTTCTAGATCACACTTGGAACTGACTAAAATCCAAGGAGTTGGATACACCTGTTAGGTCTGTTTTTTTCTTAAATAAATTATCTGAATTGAAAAGACACACTTTTTGAGTTTGTTTTTGTTTTTGTTTGTTATATCGAGACAGGGTTTCTCTGTGTAGCCCTGGCTGTTCTGGAACTCACTCTGTAGACCAGGCTGTCCTTGAACTCGCAGAGATCTGCCAGCCTCTGCCTCCCCAAGTGCTGGGATTAAAGGTGTGCACCACCACTGCCTGGCAAAAAGACCCACTCTTAATCTGGATCTTTTGAGGTGGGAAGATCCACATTTATCTGGGCCACACCTTCTGCTGGCAGCCTGTAAAAAGGACAAGGAAGAAGGAAGCTTGTGCTCTCTCTGGCAAGTCCATTCCTTCACTGGCGTGAGAGCCTACTTCTCGGGGATTCTGGCATATACTGAAGATGAGCTGAGATATCCAGCCTTGGGCACTGAACCATTACTGGATTCTTGGACTTCTGTTGGTAGACAGCCATTGTTGCACTGCTGGGCCACAGCCTGTGGGCCATTTTAATAAACTCCCTTTAATCTTACGTGTATGTGTGGTTTCACATTCTGTAAGTTCTGTTCCTGTAGAGAGCCCTGATTGACACAGCCCCACCACGGGCACTTGCTATGGTGAACGCGGTAGACATACGTCAGTGTGAGAAGGCTTCCATCTCTACCTCTGCAGAATAAGTCACGCTTTCTTCCTCAAACACGGCGAGCCTGGAGGAACTTGGTCCCCAAGGAGGAGGAGACCGTGAGTGCTGGTGAGGAGACTGTGGAGGCCCTGCTGGGTCTGGTCCGCAGCAGCCATTCTCCGTGGGCCTTGATGAAGGACTCCAGCGTTGAGGACCATTTCCTGAGAGAGCTGGCCATCCAGCACCCACTGATGATCAAAGACACTTTCTTCTACTCCTACTTTCGGTCCCTGCGGGTGGTGGACAAAGGGGTGAGTGCTGGGCATATGGACAGGAAGGGAGGGGGCAGCCTCGGGAGTTGGTTCTGGGGTACCCTGTCTTTTTGACCTCTCCTTAGGCGACAGGAGGGCCTCCGTGACCTTGAGTGTAGCTCTCTCCCTGTCTCTAACCCCAGAGGAGCTCAGTTCTGTATGTCTTTGGCTGACTCTTGCGCACTCTGCAGTGAGCCCTCCTGGTAAAGACCTTTAAGGGAGCACGATGTTTTCTTTAAAGTGGAAGAGGGTTGGCTAACATCAAGCAGACCTGTTTTTGGAAAGCTGCCATATTAATAAGGCATAGATATGACAACGACCCCAGCCTCCCTGAGTCTCTCCTTCCTTCCCCTGTGACCCACCCATACCATTTTGTCTGGGACTTTCTGGGGATTGGAAACCCCCCAATCCTGGGCACACTAGTAGACTTGGTCACCATAGGAAAGGGAAGCTCAGCCTGGAAGGGCTTCTGATGACCTTGAGGCCACAGGAAACAAGGATTCATGGGTATAGTGATGAAGCCGCTGGTAGGCCCTGCTCCATCTAACCTGCAGTAATTCTGGAAGACCAGGCTGGCCAACTGTTATATGCTTTTCTTGAGAAGAGGTAAAATTTATCAGGAAATGCCAACAACCCTAAGAATGGCTCACTGAAGTTCATGTTGATGACTGTAATGTGCTTATGGCGTTGCGTATGCCAGTGATACAAACACTTCCCTCCCTAGTCACTCCTCCCTGTATCCTTCTATTTGTCCATTAACCAACTTCCTGCTCTGTTTGGTTCTGAGTTCACAGAGGGACCTATACAAGCCCGAGTTCTCAGTACCACCCAGCGCTGAAGCAGTAGAGCTGACTACAAGGCTCAGGCTACAGGGTGCAGGCAAAACAGACCATGCCAATGAGTGTTTATGTGTGTTCCAGGACCTCTGCTGGTCTCAGGAGACACTGTCCCACCAGGGGAAGGATGGCTGGTTTGGCCTAAAGAACGGCTAAAAGGGGCTGGAGAGATGGCTCAGTGGTTAAGAGCATTGCCTGCTCTTCCAAAGGTCCTGAGTTCAATTCCCAGCAACCACATGATGGCTCACAACCATCTGTAATGAGGTCTGGTGCCCTCTTCTGGCCTGCAGGCATACACACAGACAGAACATTGTATACACAATAAATAAATAAATAGAACGCCTAAAAGGCAGCTTGCAGCAACAAGGAATTGCCCCAAGGGCTGGCCCCTTATAGCAGAAGTTCCTTGGGCTGTGGTAGAGGATTCTTTTTTCCCAGGAATCCTGTGATCCAACATAGGAAGAACATAGGACACTGGTGTGGAGATCAAAAGCCTGTTTTAGAGTTGGAGCTGGGCCTTTAAACCCTCAGAACCATGCCGTGTGGGTGGGACGTTGGACTTGGGGCTGAGCAGTTGCGGAGCTTTGACTGAGAGATGTCCCCTCACCCCCCAGACTCAGGTATCTGAACACTTCTTCCCCAGTTCTTTGGGGATGTAGTGGAACCTTTGGGATGTGCAGCCTTGCTGGAGGAAGCCCATCACTGAGGCTTTGAGGGGCTGTAGCTTCACCCCACTTCCTGTCCTCCCTGCTTCCTGTGTGTGGTTGGAGTGTGAGCTTTGTGCCACTGCTGGGGTGCTGTGCCTTCCCCTCCGCTATAGACACCTAACCCCCTGGAGCCATAAGCCAGAGTAAGCAGGGTGGCTTTGTCGTGACATTTTGTCACAGCAGCAGAACAGGCGCTAACACAGCTGTTACTTCCTCATGTGAACATACATGCTCCAGTGCGACCTGGCTCGCCAGGGTCCTCAGTTTCCCTTCCTTCCCTTCCAGGTGACTCTGGTGGACAAAGATCTCTTGAAATTTCTAAAGCTTGAGGAGTTGATTCTGAGTGCCAATAAAATCGAGGAAATCGATGCTAACAATCTGCCCCGAACATTGAAGGTACAGGTTCTGTATAGGGTCTTAGAGTCAGCAGCTCTAGAGGTCCCCCCCCCGTCACCTGTCCCCCACAGCTCTAGAGGTCCCGCCTCTCACCTGTCCCCCACAGCTCTAGAGGTCCTGCCCCTCACCTGTCCCCCACAGCTCTAGAGGTCCTGCCCCTCACCTGTCCCCCACAGCTCTAGAGGTCCTGCCCCTCACCTGTCCCCCACAGCTCTAGAGGTCCTGCCCCTCACCTGTCCCCCACAGCTCTAGAGGTCCTGCCCCTCACCTGTCCCCCACAGCTCTGGAGGTCCCGCCCCTCACCTGTCCCCCACAGCTCTGGCTAGGGTTGCTGTGCACGGGACCCAGCGCCAGGCTTTTAAAACATAGGCCGTGTTCCTTATAAAGTTACAAAATCCTTTGGACTCCTCTCTTCTGCAGTACATGCGACAAGAACAGGAGGAAGGTCCCAGGGAGGCTCTGGTTACCAGCCCTGCTGTTCACAACAGAGGGAAAGTGAGATGACCCGAGACCTGGTCTCTCCATGCAATGGAATCTTGCTCACTTGTAAAAAAGAAAGGACATTGGTGGTCACCTAGAAAACATCACACTCGATGGAAGAAACCAGATTTTAAAGAGAGAAATATCTTTTTTAATAATTTATGTATTTGTATCTTTATGTGCATTGGCGTTTTGCCTGCAGGTATGTCTATGAGAGGCTGCCACACAAGAGCTGCAGGAGTTACAGACATGGCAGCTAGTTGCATGCTGCCATGTGGGTCCCGGGAGTTGAACCCAGGTCCTCTGGAAGAGCAGCCAGAGTTCTTTTTCTTTTTTCTTTATTTTCGAGACAGGGTTTCTCTGTAGCTTTGGAGCCTGTCCTGGAACTAGCTCTGTAGACCAGGCTGGCCTTGAACTCACAGAGATCTGCCTGCCTCTGCCTCCCGAGTGCTGGGATTAAATGCATACACCACTACCGCCCGGCTCAGCCAGAATTCTTAACTGCTGACCCATCTCTCCAGCCCCAAGAGAGAGGTCATATGTATAACTGCACTTAGTGAAATATGTTTAAGTGGACAGTCCACAGAAACAGAAGTCAGCAGAGGTCACAGGGGTCAGGAAGGACCAGGAGAACTTCCTGCTTAGTGGGGTCTGTTTTTTGTCTGCTTTTTGTTCAGAATCCGTTTGCGGTGGTGATGGTAGCTGGTATTGCAGATATAATTAGAGCCTGTGGGTCACATACTTGAAATGGCGGATTTGCCTGTGTGAAATTTACCAAGTTAAAACAACAGTGTCAGTAAAGGGATTGCCTTGCAGGCATGAAGACTTTAGTTGGCTCTCCAGAACCCATGTGAAAAATGTGGGGGTGTGCTTTTAATCTCAGTGTTGAGGAGGCAGAGACGGGCCTGAGACTCTCGGGCCAGCCACCTGTCTCTAGAGTAAATTCCAGGTCAGTGGGAAGCGGCCTCTGAGGGAGCCAAAGCTGTCTTCTGGCCTCACACATATACACATGCGTGAGCACGCATACATGTACACAAGCACATTTGCACGCGTGTGCAGGCACACACACACACATATGAGCACCCACAGTGTATGTGAACACACCGCATATACACACAAAACAGAACCAAAGGGTAGAGCAGACTTTACCGGAAGTCTTCAGAGGCACAGGTGTAGAGGTGGTGCATGCTTTAATCCCAGCACTCAGGAGGCAGAGGTAGGTGGGACAGCCTGATCTACAGAGTGAGTTCCAGGACAGCCTAGGAACACAAAGAAACCCTGTCTTGAACCCCCCCCCCCCAGTAAGGGTTCTAGGCTGTATGCACCTGACCCCCATCCACTCCCTCCCACCTCACTGTGAAGAGCCTTCCCTCTGGGGCAGCCTGTGCTTCCTGCCCCTCCCCGAGTCCCTTCCTTTGAGAGGCTGTGTTGCTAGGTATTGCTGTGTAGTCTAGGCTGACCTGGGATTTACTGTGTAGCCCAAGCTAGGCAGGATCTCCTGAGTCCTGGGGTTACAAGCACACACTGCCTCACCCATTCTTCCTACATTAGACGGTTTTGTTTTCAATTTAATTATTTGGGGGGGGGGCGCATGTGCTGTGGTCTGTGTGTGGAGGCCAGAGGACTGCTTTACAGTTCTCTCCTTCCACCTTGGGACTTGGGAATCAAACTCAGGTCATCGGGTTCATGAGGCAAGTGCTTTCACTAGTTCCCAGGTTCCCAGCACTCCCCCGCTTTTTTTTCCTTTTTGGGGGGGCGGTTGGAGACAGGATCGCTCTAGGTAGCCCTGGCTGTTCTCAAACCTACTTTGTAGACCAGGTTGGCCTTGAACTCACAGAGTCTACCTGCTTCTGCCTCCCAAGTGCTGCGATTAAAGGTGTGAGCCACCACCTCCAGCAGGCACTGCCCAGCAATCTTGAACTCTTTATCCTCCTGCCTCTACTTCTCAAATATTGGGATTACAGGAGCATACCACCACTCTGGGTTACTCATTCAGAGCTAGAGATGGCACTCCAGGCCCTGCGCAAGCTAGGTAGGATCTCTACCAGCTATGCCAGCCTCTGACTTTTTTTCTTTTTATGCGGGAGGGAGGTTTTCGAGACAGGGTTTCTCTGTGTAGCTTTGGAGCCTGTCCTAGAACTCTCTGTAGACCAGGCTGGTCTCGAACTCCCGAGTGCTGGGATTAAAGGCATACACTATGACTGTATTTTTGAAAGCAAGTTAGCAACCCAGAGTCCCTTCTGAGTTTCCTGGGGTAGGAGGAGGAGCCTTTGGAGTGAGACAACCCCCTCCATCACAGTGGGTTCTCTTCCTTCTCAGGTGCTGGAGCTCTATGGCAACTTGATCGCCAGCATGGAGTGTCTGTGCTCACCTCCACCCCCGAACCTGCAGCACTTGGGGCTAGGCCACAACAAACTGCTGGGCCCTTTGGAGAGTCTGTATGTCACCTCCAGAAACTGGTAACTTGGGGGCCTGGATGAAAGGAAGGAGAGGCATTAAGATGAGGTGGGGGGTGACTCGGCCCTGTAGGGCTCGGCTTTGCTAGGCCTGTGACTTCTACGTGGCTGCTAAATGCACGCTAGGGTTTTATTCTCACTCGGTCACAATATCCCACTGGAGCTCCGGGGAGGACAAGGATGCCAGCGACTGGTGGGGGTCCTCAGCTTAGCTCTGTGGCATCAGCTGGCCATGCCTTCTGTTTGGGGACATTTAGCAGCACTCTGGCCTCCAGCTGCTAGGTGCTTGTAGCATCTGCCTCTCTCTGCAGAAGCCAGTCTTCTGAGGGCAAGCCACCCCAGCTGAGAACCACTGTCTAGAGACAGCTCTTGGGACTCCATTTTCCCTGAGCATCCATTAGCGCTTGTGCAGGGAATCTCCCACCCCCAATTTGTGTCTCCTTGGTGGATTCACAGAGGAAAACTTAAAATTCAGGATGGGAGAAGCATGAAGAGATTGGAGGCTGTCACAGGGAGCTGGGGCCCAGAAGCCCCAGGATTTCAGCCACTGAGGGCATTTCCATAGGTCGGGTTTTATACTGCCCTCCCCCTTCCCTTCCTTCCGCTTCACCCCTCCCCTTTTTTATGGTTTTTCGAGACAGGGTTTCTCTGCATAACAGTCCTAGCTGTCCTGGAACTAGCTCTGTAGCCCAGGCTGGCATTGAACTCACAGAGATCCGCCTGCCTCTGCCTCCCAAGTGCTGGGATTAAAGGTGTGCACCACCACTGCCTGGCCCCTCACCCCCTTTCTTTTGAAGACAGCAGGATCTAATGTAGCCCAGGCTTGCCTCAAGCTCAGTGTGTAACTGAAGATGTGGTAGATCTGGTCCCCCTCCTTAGCCCTCTTGGAGGCAGAAGGTGCTGTGGAAAGGGAAGGCCCTCTCCGGCCGACCTTGACTGCAGGCTTCCTCCTTTCTCTGCTATTCTTATCGATCTGCAGGTCTTATGCTCACTGGTACTCCTTCCTTCCATTGTCCCCTGGCTTCAACAAACACAACACACACAGGAAACAGCACACTTGATCTTCTTGGGACAGCCAATGTAGGTTCATGTCACTGACTGAGAGCAAGTATCTGGCTTTTGATTCAAGATATAGTATAACCTTGGGCTTAATGCCAGCTCGGGATTACACACACACACACACACACACACACACACAAAACCTTTCATGAAACTCATCATTTGCTGTTAATTAAAAGAGAGAATCAGCCAGCCAGCGGTGGCTCATGCCTTTAATCCTAGTACTTGGGAGGCAGAGGCAGGTGATTTCTGTGAGTTTGAGGCCAGCCTGGTCTACAGAGTGAGTTCCAAGACTGGCTCCAAAGCTACACAGAAAAACCCTGTCTTGAAAAACAAATAGATAGATAGATAGATAGATAGATAGATAATAGATAGATAGATAATAGATGATAGATAGATAATAGATAGATAGATAATTGATAGATAAATAGATGATAGATAGATAATAGATAGATGATAGATAGATAGATAATAGATAGATAGATAGATAGATAGATAGATAGATAGATGATAGATGGATAGATAGATAATAGATAGATAGATGATAGATAGATAGATGATAGATAGATAGATAATAGATAGATAGATAGATAGATAGATAGATAGATAGATAGATAGAAAGAATAGATAGATAGCGATAGATAAACAAACAAACAAGTGGGAGAGTGGGAGAATCTGTCCTGGGAAGGATGACGTCGTGCAAGGCCTGTGATGATCCCCTGCATTGTCCTTTTGTCCCTTTCCAGGGACTGGCCAGTGACCAGCATAGCAGAACAGGCCTGGGAAGAGGGGAACGAGGAGAGAGAATGAGGAGTCTGAGTCCAGGCTGTGGGGTGACCACGACAGTTGGTGTAACAACATTATTCCCTGGTGCTTCTTTGGCCTCGGCATGAGCTGACTCTAGTTTGTGGCATGGGTGGAGCTCTGCTGCTCCTGTGTCTTGGTCTCTCCTGGAGGCCTGGGCTTCATCTTCGCCTGCCTGCCAGTCTCATTTGCTCCTGCTAGCACACTCGTTCTTCGCTCCTGTGTCCTAGAGGATGAGCTGGCGAGCTCTCTGTGGCCATGGCCATTGTGGCTTTGGAGAGAGATTTCCAGCCACAGCCTGGTGACCCTCCTTCCCGGTCCTCACTTTCCAGCCACACTCCCTGGCCCACCCTCCTGCAGGGTTTCCAACATGTCTGTCAGTGGGAATTTGTAAAGAACCTTCTAGAGGCACAGCAGGGTTTGATCTTTGGCAGAGAGGGATGTGCAGGATGGAAGCCAGGTGGGGAGGGCTGTGAGAGAGAGTCCGAGAACACAGGCTGTGTTCTGGAGAGAAAGGAGATGGCTCCAGAGCTGATCCGGGTCCAGGGCGGAACAAGGCGTGTGGCCCAGAGCACTGAGCCTCCGCTCACTGAGCCTAAGCAGCATCTTGGCTCACCTTCCAGGCCCCAGCTCGTCTCCCTGGATCTGGGCTTCAACGAGTTGACAGACTTGCAGAGCATGATAGCGGGTCTCTGCACCCTGAAGCACCTGAGGTTGCTCGTGCTGCAGGGGAACCCACTGGCCCTGGTTCCTTACTACCGTGGCTTTACCGTGGACAGCCTGGCACGCCTCTGTGTGCTGGACGACATCACCGTGTCTCCCAGCGAGAAGCACCAGTTCCGGGGGCTCAGCATTCATGGTGGTAGGTGTATCACACACCCAGGCCTCTGCCCTGTAAGCTGGCCAGCAGCTCTCCCTTTGCCCTTGGCCCTGATCAGGTCTACTAAGTACTTTGTGGGCTTTCTCTGTGTGGGACCCCTGTGGTTGGGACGTGGGATGGCATCTGGTCTGTCTGGATCTTGTTTCTATGGTGGCTCGACACCACCCCCTTGTGGCTCCTGATATGAGGTGCACCAGGGCCTTTGCTGGCCGAGTGGTGGGATGCTGGGGGTCACAGCTGAGGTAGTTAGCTGATGGTCTCCACCTCTCCCTCCCTCAGAACTGTCTCTGCCACGCGCCTCTCGGCACCCCCTTTTGGCAAACAGGAAAACCAGACTTCATAGTTATTTAATGGCTTATCCACGGCTCCCTCCCGGTGAACTCTGTGGGTGGGCAGGTCAGCAGACAGCCCAGTCTCTCAGTCCTGCCATCACTCCTTGCAGACCTGTTGGCACGTGAGGCACAGTTTCTGGTGACCATCGGCAATGTCAGGGGTGTTATTGACAGCTCTGTCTTGGACCCAGAGCCGGGACCTGAAGGCCCTTTCATCAGTTACAGCTACTATGTGACCTACGACTTTGTGGAAGACGAGGATGGTGAAGGGAACGTGCGCGCCAGCACGATGGCAGAGACCCATCCCGACAGTGTTCTGGCAGAGGTGCGACCTGGCTAGGGAGCAGAGTGGACTTCACACAGGCCTGCGGGCTTCTGTGTGCACACAGAACAGCTTTTTAGCTGCCCCCCCGCCCCCACAATCTTCAACACATAGTCATACCTCCTCTATTCGGGGGCCTGGTTCTCGCCTGATATCCCCTTCCCCAGGCAGGTTGAGTGGCTGAGTTGTAAATCCACCTGCGTGGCCTGCGTGTGACCTTGTGATCCCTCCCCAGCACCGCGCCAACCAGCACTCACTGGGATAACAGCCCGAGGCGTGTTTTTCTTTGCTTGCAGATGGTGGAGCCCTCCTCCAGCGGGGAGCAGTTAGATGAGGAGGGTGGCGAGGAGGACCAGCCAGAGGTTCTATTGGGGGCCCATCCTGGGGCCCGGCGCCACACCCGAGCAGGTCGCCCGGCCCGCCGTCAGAGGATTCGCACAGAGTCGCCTGAGGGCCTGTCCAAGGAGTTGTCCGAGTTTATAGCTGAGGAGATGAACCAGATGGCCGAGGACTCCGGAGAGTCTGGGATAACAGATATGGAGGAGTCGGAGACAACCCTTTCCATCCGCTCTGCCCCACTGCCACAGTCGATTGACTCCTCGGAAGAGCTGTCAAAGCTACGGCCTCGAATAGATCCAAGGCTCTGTCCATCCCCAGGGTAAGGGTAGAAGGCAGCTGCGGGTGGGCGGAGCATCCAGGGTTGCCACAAGCCAGGGCTGTCCTTGCAGCTTCCCTTGAGCGTCTGACTGCTGAGCCACGAAGAACTCCCAAGGCCGTGCCTTCTTATTAGCTGGCCCGTAGGCTGTGAGCTAGAGGTAGGTTTGAGCTTAGCCACAAACTTTTTTTTTTTTTTTTTGATTTTTCGAGACAGGGTTTCTCCGTAGCTTTTGGTTCCTGTCCTGGAACTAGCTCTTGTAGACCAGGCTGGCCTCGAACTCACAGAGATCCGCCTGCCTCTGCCTCCCGAGTGCTGGGATTAAAGGCGTGCGCCACCAACGCCCAGCAGCCACAAACCTTTCTTTTCTGGAGCCCTAACCTTCCACTCTGAGCCCCAGATTCTGTAAAAGACTGGCTCCCATCTCAGCCATTGGGATTGGGTTCTTAGAGTTTTTCTTTTATAAAACAACCCAGATGTGTTTGTTTTCTATGTATGTGTGTTTTGCCCACATGTACAAAAGTGTACAAAATGTGTCCGAGGCCTGAGGAGCCTGGAAGGTACAGGGCCCTCTGGAATTGCAGCTATAGCTGGTTGTAAACTGCCATGTGGGTGCTGGGAACCGAACCAGGGTCTTCTACAAGAGCAGCAGCTGGTGCTCCTAATCTCTGGGCCATCTCTTCTTTTAGCTTTTCTGTTCACATGGGAAGTGTTCATCTAAAATGCAAGGCATTGGGTTCAAGGCCGTAGGTTCTTTGTTTTGTGTGCTGTACTGGAGGTTGAAGCAGTGGCCTCATATTACTAGACAAGTTCTCTATGGCAGAGCCTGCAACCCCAATCTTTTTTTCACTTTGTGCTTGGATACAAAGACTCACTAATTTTCTAGGCCAACCTTAAACTTGAAATCCTTTTGGCTCAGTCCCCTGAGTAGCTCAAATCTCAGGCCTCACCAGGCCTACAAGCCAGGCTTTTGTTGCCTAGTAAACGCAATTTTCATGCAGGCGTGTACACACACACACACACACACGTCTTTGCAGGCGATAAATTTCCTGCTGGCTTTCATGAGAATGCAGGAAACAATATGGCTATTTACACATAGTGTGGCTGAGCTCTGATTCACCCATTTAACCCTTCATCGGCTTTGCCACTTTGCCGTCCTGGGGTGTGAGAGGTTAGTTAGCTTCTTTTACCATGGGCTGTAAGAGTTGTTGGGTTTGTTCGGTGGCGGGAGGGAACCCAAGTCTCAGTGTCTGCAGAGCATCACCAGGACCGAGCTGCACCCCTAGGCGTTGGTTTAAACCATGTTGAGTGCATGATCTAAGCTTGCTGAGATCCAGGGATCCCGGGCCTCGGCTCCCAGCGGTGACAGAGCAGGGGAAACAGCTGTCCTGCTGCCACAGTGAAAAACAAGCAGGGCTGCAATCATCTGACTCTGTCAGGAGGCGAGGGTCCCACTGAGCCTTCTGCTTTTGTTTAGTTCTGATGCTGGAAACTGAACCGGGACCTCCTGCATTCTATGCTGCTCTGCGGTTTGCTCTACCACTGAGCTATGTCAGGGCTCAAACTGAGGCATTAAACCAATGCTTCTTTACTTGGGGGAAAATTAATAAGAGAGGGTGAGAGGCTAGGGGTGGTGGCGCACACTTCTAATCCCAGTACTCGAGAGGCAGAGGCAGGTGGATCTATGTGGGTTCTAGGCCAGAGCCTGGTCTATAGAGTGAGTTCCAGGACAGCCAGAGCTACACAGAGAAACCTTATCTGAAAAACAAACAGAGAGAGAGAGTGAGCATGGTGGTACATGTTTGTCATCCCAGTTTAGGAAGCTGAGGCAGGAGGATTATGAGCATGAGGTCTGCTTGGGCTTTGTAATGGGTGTCTCTGAATGAATGAATGAATGAATGAATGAATGGGCATGGGAGGGAAAGTCCAGAGGAAATCAGGCGCAGGCTTTAAGTGTCTAAGAGTCCAGTCTTAGTAGAGCCATGATGGGGTCACACAGTCGGTCAACAAGCTGCGACAATTCTTGAGAACAAATGGTGTCTGCTGGAGAAGCTTCCCTAAGCCCGGCGGTTGCGCTGGAATCTGGTCACATGGGCACCCATTGCCTGCCACCCCTACAGTTCCACACTGCAGGCAATCTAGACCCAGTGACCTCAGAGCCACCAGAGAGTGGGGAGAGCCTTCCAAAGCCCAAGTGCGGGGCTTGGGGAGCAGCTCAGAGGTGCTTGTCTGTGGCCCACAGACGTTACGGTGGGAAGTTGATCCCTTGGTGCTGTAGTTACAAGTGTTTGTGAGCCACACATTTTGTGGGTGCTAGAATTCTGAACCCTCTGATAGATCAACCCTCTAGACACTAAATATGTCCTCTGTTGAAAGGAAGGTTTTTAGTTTGTTTGTTTGTTTGGTTGGTTGGTTGCTTGCTTGGTTGGTGTGTTTTTCAAGGCAGGGTTTCTTTTTGTAGCCGTGGCTGTCCTGGAACTCACTCTATAGTCCAGGCTGGCCTCGAACTCAGAGATCCGCCTGCCTCTGCCTCCCGAGTGCTGGGATTACAGGCGTGCGCCACCACCGCCCGGTGCCACATCTGGTTTTGCGCGGTGCTGGAGATGGTGGACCTGGGCTCTGTGCACACGGGCAAGCACTCTGCTACTTGAGCCACACGCTCAGACCTTTGTGTCACTCCGCGCTTTTTACTTAGTCATGTGACAGAATCTGACAGTTTTACCCTTAGCAAAGTGCCTATTATGCCGGGTGGTGGTGGCGCACGCCTTTAATCCCAGCACTCGGGAGACAGAGGCAGGCGGATCTCTGTGAATTCGGGACCAGCCTGGTTTACAAGAGCAAATTCCAGGACAGGCTCCAAAGCTACAGAGAAACCCTGTCTCAAAAACAAAACAAAACAAAAAAAATAACCCCCGCCCCCCCCAAAAAAGCCTAATTACAAGGTTGAGTAATATCTGAAACTACCACCCCTGGCAAGATTATTGTTGGGTCCGGGATCACGCAACGACAAGGAACAAACCACCAAAGTCTATTAAATCAGAAGCAAGCTTCTGTAGCTGTGGCCATCGGGCTGGTTTTGGCCTCCTCTTATAGTAAAATCAAGCACCAGGTGTGGGTCAAAGAGCATTTACAACCTTGAGGTCAGGCTTAAAGTCACTTTACATTTTAAGTTTTACAACTTTTGGTTATAGGACATTAGAATATTTGCGAAAGCCCATGGCTGACACAGCCACTTTTCACTGTCCCTACAAGACAGAGTAGAGTCACGGGGTGGTGGGGAGCACAGTTAAAAATGAAGGGAATACCAGCAGAGGGTCCCACAGAGGCAACAGTTAGAAGCTAACTTTGTCTGCAGGACCTGCCTAGCCGGGAAGCTGGGAGGCAGGAGGCCATTGTTAAGTTTACCTCTGTCCAGACAGCACTCGGGAGGCAGAGACAGGAGGCCATCCTAGTCTACAAGAGCGAGTTTCAGGACAGCCAGGGCTACACAGAGAAACCCTGTCTCAAAACAACAACAACTAAAAAATGATCTCTGTACACAGTGGCTGCCAGGATGACAGTGCTTAAGGAATGGTCTTAAGAAAGTGTTTGTTAAAGGTTAACAGCGGCTGCCAGATTTAGGTTTTTTTCTTCCAAAATGTGTTTGGGCTTACAATTTTATAGTTCTTTTTTTGTTTTGTTTTGTTTGTTGAGACAAGGTTTCTCTGTAGCTTTGGAGCCTGTCCTGGAACTTGCTATTGTAGACCAGGCTGGTCTCAAACTCACAGAGATCTGCCTGCCTCTGCCTCCCTAGTGCTGGGATTAAAGGCGTGAGCCACTGCTGCCCGGCACAATTTTATATTTCTATATTCCTGACTGAACCCTTTATTTCTGTATTCTATTCCTGGACTCTTCGACTATAACTCCCTTTAACCCTGCCTGAGTACACAGCACAGCCACACTGTCTGTGTTCGCTGGGGCTGAGCCAAGGGATCACCGGGAGACCGGGCTCCTTTTCCATCATCTCAGAGCAGACAGAACTCAACACCACCTGCCCAGCTGCTCGCCCCTCCCCCACCCCAGCCTCCTCCCTGCTCCTCACTACAGACCTGTCCAGCTTCGGCTTCCATACCGTCACCGCGTTTGCCTTCCATGTCTGGATCATTTCTTTGAGCATGACGCGGCTTCAGAGTTAATGTGTGCTGTGGCATGGGTCAGAATTCTCTTCCGTGTAGTCTTCCACTGATGGAGAGACCCCTCCCCCCCTTCACTCTCACCTGCTCAGCCGTGGGGCAATGGCTGACTCCCACCCCGTCCCTTTCCACTCTTTCCCGGTGCGCTCTTCGGGAGTCTTGCTTTGCCCCTTTGGTTTGTCACCCCCCACCACATGTCCCAGGAGAACTCGCGTCTCCTTAAAGCATCGCTTTGTAATGACTTGTGTTTATGATGTTTTTTTCCATTTGGCTGTTTTTGTTTTTGTTTTTTTTAATTGTGGAGTCGAGCATAGTGGTATAGACCTACAATTCCAGCATTTAGGAAGTAGAGACAGGGGGATTACTTCAAGTATGAGACCAGCATGAGCTATTTAGTGAGTTCCAGGTCAGCCAGAATTACAGAGTGAAACTTTCTTTCAAAAACCTAACAAAAACCCTTATAGATTCTAGCTGGTGGACAGCTGCCGTTCCACATGGAGCATGCCCAGAAGAGCACCTCTGCTCACCTTTGCCAGTGTTTCTTCCTGGCTTTCTGGGTCCTTTGCCCTGCCCGGGTCTTGGTCTCTCACCATTTGTGGGTGCTTGCTGTCTTTTTGAGCATCCCTTGGCAGCCTTGCCCCAGGTTGCCAACACAGTCCCACGTGTCTCTCGTTCCCAAGGACAGTTCTCTTCAGCACCGTCCGAAAGCCCTGGACTGACGTCATTCCTTGTAACTATGAGATGAAGCACAACCTCAAGGAGCTGGTGCGGGTCAAGAACTTCCTGCTGGCAGGGACCACGGTGACCATCGTAGAAGAGAAGGTGGGCAGAGCAGGGGGCTCTGGCCTCTCATTGGCTGGAGTGTTCTGTGTCCGCATCCTTTCCAATGACCTTTTTCTTGTCAAGTTGTCACATTCGTGTTCCCTCCTTGGTTGCCTTTCAGAGCCTTTCCAGAAAGGTCAAGGCAGGGTGGGTCTCAGGAGTCACCTCCCCTGTTCACCCGAGATCGGGTCTGTCCTCCAGATCCTATCCTGGCCTGTGTTGCCCACTCCTGTCGAGAGTCCCTTGCCTGCCAAGAAGGGGAAAGCAGACAAGAAAGAGAAAGAAAAAGAGAAAGAAAAAGAGAAAGGGAAAAAACAGAAGGTAGAGGAGGCTGCCAAGGAAAAGGTAAGGCCTTCTTGGGTCGCCTCAGGGCAGGGAGGGGAGTGCGGCCCAGTCCTGCTCACACCTCTGTGCTCCTGGCCTTGCCCACAGGACAAAAAGGGGCTCAAGAAGAAAAAGGAGCCACCCAGGGAGCTGCGCCAGGACCCGCCCGTGCTGCGCGTGCTGGGTAGTGGCCTGGTGTACCTGGAGCCCTTGTTGGCAGGGGACTCAGCGGTGACCACTGTGTGTAATTTTGGGGTGATCCGCACCATGGAATCTGACAGATTGACTCATGCCAGGGTACAAAGGGGCCCTTGGTCTTGCCCTTCCGTCTCTGCCTCCCCTCTTCCTTCCTTTTGGACAGCTTGCTGGGTTGGGCAGGGATGGGGTAAGGTCGAGGGTGGCGACACTGGAGAGGCCCTGGTTGTATGTCAGGGCAGTGGGGCACCTTTGACCGTCGCTGTTGTGGTGACGGCCCAGGTCAACCACACTCCTCAGCAGAGCCCATTCTCCCCGGGGAGGGGTGGGTGACCCCAGCGTCAGCCTCAGGGCCAGCATTGATCCCAGCGAGTACCTGGCTTTGTGGTTCTTTCTCTCAGGATTCAAAGAAGATAAAGAAAGTTCCCAAAAAAGGTAAGAGCCAGTGGCTGCCACTGAGGGCAGGGTGGGGGACTGAGCCCAAGGGACTATAGGAATGAGGGGGACTGAGAATGACTTCCAGTCAGCACAGAAGCAAGCCCAGAATCATCCTGAAGCCCAGTGCAGCTGCGGGCTGTGTTGTACTGGAAAGGCTGGGGTGGGTGAGTCCTGGCCTGGCCCTGCCTTCCCACCCCTGTAGTCTTTGAGCACCGGATCTCTCAGCCAGGTTTGTCTTATGTTGGAGCTTTCTAGCTTCCTTCCTTCGCCCCCTCCACCCGTTCCCACTTTCTTCTGCCTACCTGGATAGGATAGCCCAGGCTGGCCTAGAACTCAGTTTTCTGTGTTAGATTTGAGAGTTTTTGCTGTTGTTGTTGAGTCAGGGTTCCTTCACCCTGATCAGCCTGGGACTCACAAATAGTGGGGTGCCATTAAAGTACTTAGAGATTAATTCATTCAGTGCCTTTAATAGAAAAACTTCGCCGAGCGGTGGTGGCACACGCCTTTAATCCCAGCACTCAGGACGCAGAGACAGGCGGATCTCTGAGTTTGAGGCCAGCCTGGTCTACAAGAGCTAGTTCCAGGACAGGCGCCAAAGCTACAGAGAAACCCTGTCTTGAAAAATAGCAAAAGAAAAACTTCAAGCCAGACATGGTGGTGGCAACCTGAGAGGTAGAGGCAAAAGCCTGAGAGTTTAAAATCATCCTCAGTTTAAGGCAAGCCTAGGCTCTAGGAAACTATCTCAACAAACAAACAAGAGTACAGACAGTGGTGACCTGGTCCTTAATAGCAGTACTCAGGAGGGCAGAGGCGCGCAGATCTGAGTTCAAGGCCAACCTGGTCTACAAAGAGAATTCCAGAACAGCCAGACCTAAGTGAGACGAGACCCTGTGTAAAAAATAAACAACCAAACCACCACCAACAACAAAAAAACCCTGCAAAATACTCACATGTTTTCTCTCTCTCATGCAGTGCTGGTGAGCAAACCTAGGGCCACCAAAGCTCTCCACGAGCTGAGCTGCATCCTCAGTGCCTTTCTTTCTTTTTAATTATGTGTTATGTACATGGAGATCAGAGGGACAAGTGGGTCCTGGGGATGGAACTTAAGTCGTCAGGCTTGCCGGCTTTTAAAAAGCACCATAAGTTTTTATACTCAAACAGCTGGGCCTTATTCAGTGATCTCGACAGATGCAATTGAACTTATTCTTTATTGCGGCTAACATTGTAGGTGCTGAGATTAAAAGGCATGCGCCACCACCACCCAGCAAAGTTTTCATTTTCAGAAATTCTAAATAACTTTTGAAATTAAAGGCATCCACCACCACAGCCTGCTCCAAGTGGATCCAAAAAAAAAAAAAAAAAAAAAAATTCTAGGCCTGGTCTCTTTCGGAAGCTGAGTTCCTCTAGGTGGGAGAACAGGGCTTGAGTTTCGGGATGAGGGAGGAATTCGTCCAGGATCGGGGAGACCTGCATCCCATATGTCCCTTGGGGCTCATCTGTTCGCACTGTTGTTTTCTCAGAAAAGTCAAAAATGGCGACTCCAACCTTCGAAAACGTGTACCAGCCGGAGCCCCTGACCGTGGAGATTCAGATCCAACTGCAACAGTACCGCTCGGTGGAGGAAGCTTTCCTCAGCCTACTTGACTAGCCGGGAAAGTAAAGGATGCTTCGCTGCCGGAGCTTGGGTGTCTGAGTGTCCACCGGCAGGGGAGGGGGCGTGGCGCGAGCCCCCCAACGGGCATCGGGAGGAGCTCAGCAGCCGCGACCTATCCGACCTATCCACAGATGCTACCGGGAATGGAGAGCTTGGTGGGGTGGGGCGGGGTCCAGGGCTCCCGGAACCCCGCCCCCTTAAGTCCCGCCCCGAAGAATTTCCTTCGGGAGCCCCGCTCCCTCTCACTGCCCCCTCCCTGAAGCCCCGCCTTCTATGGGCCCCGCCCCCGAAGCCCCGCCCAGCGGGGTTTCCAAGCGCACAGGTAGAAGCCGCGCAGCCTATGTAGGTACGCGGTTCCCACGGGAGCTTAGGTATGTCTGGGGAGGACGGGGGAGGCCACGCGGCCTGCGGCGCCTGGATCCCGTTGACCGGAGTGCGGGCGCCTCTGCTGGCTGACTTCTGTTGCCCCTCCGTCTCGGGTCAGCTCTGGGCGGTTGTCCTGATTCACCGCGCTGCCGGCTCCGACGACCGCAGCCCTGTAGATTCGGGCTGAAAGAAAGGAGCTGATCGGGCCCTTTTCCCGGAGCCTGAGGCTGGCGACACCCCCAGGGCGAGGGCGCGCAGGACCCGGGGCACGTAGTACGGTGGGACGGACTTTCGGGCAGGGAAGTAGACTTTTCGGGGACTTTGGGTGGGCATGGGGTGCTGCGGCGTGGGAGGGCTACCAGGTCACGGGACAAACCAGAGTCCCCCTCAGTGAGTAGCGCGGACGGCAGCAGACTTCGCACACCTGAGATCCTGGAGCAGTTACAGCTCCGCGGCTCTCCGCACCTCTGCGAGGCGAGGCTCCGGTTCGCAGTCTAAGAGCTTTCTAGCAGCCTCAATCCCCCCCCCCCCCCTCCCCGGGTCTTTCACATCCTTAGCCGCAGCAGGAATGACATTAAAACAAACCATAGGCCCATATTTTTTAATCCTGGGCTACATCCTCGGGTGTTGCTCCTCAGCCTTGCGGGGCATTCTAGTCCCCATATGCTCTCATCTTCAGGTTTGTCTACTCCAGCGCGCAGCTTGGCTGTTCTCTCTGCCTGTCACTTTTTGTTCCCGTGCTTCATGCACTTGCTCAAATGTCCCAAGGTCTGGTAACCTTTCCTGTCACTTAATTCTTAGCATTATCTGGGTTATCTCATGCCTGTGAGGGTGTTCCTAGCTGCTTGGCTAACACTAGAGATGCTAAAAGAGATGCTCTGGCTATCGCTAGAGACGACAGGGACAAGGCTGACCCAGATAGACCGTTTTGAACTGAAGAATGGGAAAGAGATTTGGGGATGAGTATTCAGAGTTCTGCCTGCTACACTTGTGGCCCTGTACCCCACGTGTAGGTGTGGAGCTGGCTCTGGCTGTGGCTCCATGCTCCAAGGGATGGAGGCAAGGAGAGTCACTAGAAAACTTGTTTTGGGGCTGCGGGGGTGGCTTAGTTGTGCCCGCATGCTCCCCAGCGCCACATGAAACTTGCCTATGATCCCAGTACTGGCGAGGTGGAGGCAGGACGGTCAGGTGTTTAACATCTGTGGCTATACAGCAAGTTTGAGATTATTTCTGAACACGAGATCCTGCTTGGGGGTGGGAGGAATCAGAAAACTTTTTAGGCAGGATACAAGACAAAGCTGTATACAGGAACAAATGACGGGAAGGAAAGTGAGGATGAACTGTGTTACCACAGGCCTTGGGCAGGCGACTATGGTGAATACCATTTGTCTTTGGGTCACTGTAAGACTTCCTGAACCAGAATTCAAGAGGGTGGCATGAAGCCCAAGCTGTAGTTCCTTTGATGAGCCCCACCCCTCCCCCTAACCTCTCATGCTGTGATTTTTGTTCTGTGAACCACCACTGCCTGCTGCCCTGTCATGAAGTTCCCTCTTTCAAAAGGCCTAGGACTCAGGTGCTCTCTCCCCACAGGGCCTCAACTATGTGGCGCAGGTTGGGCTGTGTGCTGTCCTGCAGCCTTGTGGCACTGCGGCTCAGCAGCCTGCTCTTTCTGAAGGAGCGCACACCAACAGGGAGCTCCAAAGCCCACAAGCACTTATGGGCGCTGCCAAGGCCCCAGCACAGCCAGTGCCCACCCAATTTAGCAATTGCTAATACCTCCCTGTCCCTGCCCAGCCGCCATCGCCTCTTCTTAACCTATCGACACTGCCGAAACTTCTCCACGTTGCTGGAGCCTTCTGAGTGTGCTAGGGACACCTTCCTGCTCCTGGCCATCAAGTCACAGCCTCATCATATTGAGCAGCGTGCAGCTATTAGAAGCACTTGGGGCCGGGCTGGGAGCTGGGCTAGGGGCCGGCAGCTGAAGCTGGTGTTTCTCCTAGGGGTGGCAGGACCTGTGCCCCCAGCCCAGCTGCTGGCCTATGAGAGCTGGCAGTTCGATGACATCCTGCAGTGGGACTTTGCTGAGGATTTCTTCAACCTGACGCTAAAGGAGCTGCACGTACAGCGCTGGATGGCAGCTGCTTGCACACAGGCCCACTTCGTACTAAAGGGAGACGATGATGTCTTTATCCATGTTCCCAATGTGCTGGAGTTCCTGGAGGGCTGGGATCCTGCCCAGGACCTCTTAGTGGGAGATGTCATCCACCAGGCCCGGCCCAATAGGAACACCAAAGTTAAATACTTCATCCCATTCTCCATGTACAGGGCCCGCAACTACCCACCTTATGCAGGAGGAGGAGGCTATGTTATGTCCCGGGCTACTGTGAGGCGACTTCACGCAGCCATGGAAGAGGCAGAACTCTTCCCCATTGATGATGTCTTTGTGGGAATGTGCCTGAAAAAGCTAGGGGTGAGCCCCATACACCACGCTGGCTTCAAGACATTTGGGATCCAAAAGCCCCTGAACCCCAGGGACCCTTGCCTGTACAGAGGGCTCCTGCTGGTGCACCGTCTAAGCCCCCTGGAGATGTGGACCATGTGGGCGCTGGTGACAGATAAGAGGCTCAAGTGTACAGCTACCCCCTAACCCTAGCCCTGAAGGGCCGGTTGAGTAACAGCTTCCTCTCACCAGGAGAAACTGAAACCAGGTCCCTGCTGGTCGACAGGAAGCGCTCTCTCCATTTCTATAATGCCACCAACCTTATTGGATTAAAAGTGCTGAAACCTGGCAAACTTGTCCAGCATATGCAGGAAGGCCCGGGGCCCTACAACTCCCACCACCTAGGCAATGAAGGAAAGATACAGCATGACTTTTTTTTTTTTTTTTTTTTTTTTAATGCAAACACCAACTTCTCTTCTTTGGACACAGCAGAGAAACTTGAAGGAGCGAGCAGGAAGCATGTGTTAGAAGGCTTGTGGGGAGCACCAGGAACAGTCACACTCTGAGAAACTCCTTAGCTGAGCTGTGCTCACAGGGACAAAGGACATTATAAACACAAATCTTACAAACCAGATAGGCTCCCTCTTTTGGAGCAAACTTTAAATTATACTTGAATATCTGAGTAATATTAAAAACTGCAGCTAAACAGCAATTGAACTTGAGGGTATGGCAGAAAAGGCCCCTCCTCCTCTGGCCCAGGTTCGTAAAATACTTTGGGTGTAAGGTAAAAAAAAATGGCGAGAGAGGTGCTGAGTGAGACAGTGTTGGGTGAACCAGGCTCAAAGACAGACCAGAAAAGGGCAGGCACAGCTCACAAAAGGCTTCCGGTATTACCGGCAAGGGCAGAGCCTGTTGTCTCCGCAGACTTGGGGTGATACCAGGTGGATGCCATCACCCGCTTTCCCCACTGAGTGGGCAGATAGGGCAGTGGGCTCAAGGCCTCAATCTTCCCGCAGGTAGGCCTCCTCTTCCTGGTCAGCTCTCTCATCACCGGCTTCCTGGATTTTCTGGTGCAATTCTTGTGTCTGTGCTTCAGCCAGCTTGGTTTCTGCTTTCTGGGAGAGCTGGCGCACCTCCTGCACCTGCGACTTCACCAACTGGATGTGATTCCTGGCAGTTATAGAGGCCTGATCAGCTCCTGGTGAGAGAAGGGATAGTGCATTGAGCACAATTAGGCAGAGAAGTCAGACATAGGCCTGAGTCTGCAGCCCAGCCCTCATGGGGTTACCATCCTGCTTCTCTGAGCTCAAATCTGCATCTTATGCTTTTCAAGATGGCGTACTGGATGTTGGGGAGATGACTCAGTGGTGAAGAGTGCTTGCTGCTCCAGAGGACCCAAGATGGGGAGTAGCCCATGTTGCATGGCTCACAACCACCTGTAACTTGAGCTCCAGGGAATCTGATGCCCTATTCTTGACTCTGTGGGCATCTACATGCACATACACCCAAGGACATATGCACCATTTGTTTAAAAAAAGACAAAACCTGGGGTCTCCCCATCCAGCCCTGCCAGGCCTTGAATTTTTCTGTCTCACCCATAAGGTGCACCACCCTACCCAGGTGGGTGCTCGGCTATCCCTGATTTTAAGGAAATGCCCATACGGGATGTGCAGCTCAATATAGAAGTCAGTCCCACTCAGCTGTTAGTCTGGTGCTGTGCTGGCTTATACACTTACTACAGGTTGGTCAGCACTTCATACACATTGTAGTGTGGATTTTTTTTTAAAGAGTCTCTTGGCTGAACTGGGGGTTTGGTGATTAGGCTACTTTGGCTAGCCAGACAAGCCCCTCAGGAGAGAAAAGGGAGCCCACTCCCAAAACAGTGTGTATGTTGCAGGGTGTAGCACCCCAGCTTGTTTCTGCATGGGTGCTAGAGATCATGTTTGCGGAAGCGTGTTAACCACATAGCCATTTCTCCAACCTGGAATTCTAGTTTTTGAAGATCTAACTCCCCCCCCCCCCCAAATAACATGGGCTTGGTATCCATCTTTGAATGTAATTTCAACTTTACTATGGTCTTCTATGGATTCCTTAGTTCTTCAACCTATTTTAGATTTATGTAAAAATTTATATGGTCTTTGGATGTTGTTTATATTTAATATCTGTCTCTTAAGAGGAGAATCCAACC